TAGTACTGGGAGACGGCAGAGGAGTTCATATTTTTTCAAATGATCCGTCTCATGCAAAGCTGTCACATCATAGTGACAGCTTCAATAAATGCATAAAAACTATATACTTTTTTCTTTATAAACGTTACATTCTGCAGCTTTAAAAGTAAAAAGAGTGCATTACTATTATTACTATTATTTACCAGAACCCAAAGGAAAGTAACACATTCTCTCCTGTAAACCCGCCTGATTCATCATATTAAGTGTTCAGTCAAACATAACTCAGCAGCAGCACAGTCACCGTGTCTCAGCTGCTGCTCTGCCAGCCTCTCTGTGACATTATTTATTGACGAGGAGGGGAGAAGCGTCACGGACTGCAGACCGGCAGACCGGGTCTGGCGCTCGGGGCCAGGTAGTGAGCCAGTAATGGCTGCTGCTGCGGCGCTGCAGTCTGATCTGTGTGATGTGCACACACAGACTCTCCCCACAGGCATGTGAGCTCTGCAGATGCGTGCCTGACCCGGGTTAAAGCTTGCAGAACGCTGAGAATCTGATGCCATCTGGTTTTTTTTGTTTTGTTTTTTTTTGCTCTTGCTCTCTACACAACGATTGTAAACCCATCCTTCCCTGCAATGAGACGAGTAGCAGAGCAGCAAGCAACGTTGACTTTGTCTTTTTTAGCACAACCTTTTCCTCCGGTCCCTTCTCATAAGAAATTCAACAGAAAAGTTTCCACTCTGCTTTCTGCAGGTGCTTTGTTTCACCTTTTCCACATTTTTATTGAAATGCAACCTTTTTCCAAACCAGTTTCATTTTAAATATTGTACTGCTGGAAACCTCAACATCCATTGATTATGAACTGTAGCAACTATGTATTTATGCATTAAAACCACATCACTCTCATTAAGTTAAATACTATATTGCCATCAACGTCAAATCTTAAAGGGGCAGCATTATGTCAAAATTGATTTCTTTGAGCTTGACATCATTACATGATGTTATTCTGTCATCAAAAACTCACCTAGAATGTTGCTTTGATTCTTTCATGCATGTTTGAGAAGCCTTTCAATTTCCACGGCAACCATTCAACTCTGCAAAACGCCCTGGTGGTCCTAGCTCCGCCTTTGGGGACGATGCTCCTCCTCTGAACTGCACTTTCCAAGCTTTTGAGCTCCCCTCTCCCACACCCAATTCCACCAGCTCCGCCAGAAGCAATTAGCGAAACAGTCTAGTATCTGATGAGCTCATTGCAGCAGCAACTTCTCAGGGCAACGCTGGTAAAAATGTTGCTAAAGGGTTAATAGAGGAGCCACGTGGTGATGACTTCCTGACGGCAGAATTTCAGAAAGAGCAGGAGTCTTAAAGAGACAGAGGCTCAATTTCAAGGCCTTGAGCTACAAAGTCAAATTTCTTTTAAGTATTATTATATATATATATATATATATATATATATATATATATATATATATATATATATATATATATATATATATATATATATATATATATATATATATATATATATATATATATATGGAAAAATACATAGTCTGACTGATAACTTTAAAAAAAAAAAAAAAAAAAAAAAAAAGAAAAGAAAAAGAAAACAGAGCAACTTTGATGTTTAAAGATTTAAAATAAAAAATAAAATAAAAAAATCACAGGTTCTGTCACAACACACTTGGTTTCATTTATTTCGTAATGAATCCAAGCAGCCAAAGACGTGTGTGGGAGTTTTTCTGCGTGGGTGGTGATGGTGGGTGTTTGTGACTTTAAACCTGGTGAGGGAAATGGACCCGACCTTCCACCAAACCATAGAAAATCAAGCTCTCCCAACATCTGCTGTGTTTTCATCTGCAGCATGCAGGAGAAGCTCAAAACGTCAGCTCAGTTATTTATTGTGTTCTGCTCAGGGCCTTCCGTCACGTCAGGTAGAGCGTCGCATGTGTCATGGAAGAACACAAATGGCTGTTGATGGAACGTACGTGAAACCTTCGACATTTCTTTTTGAATTACTCTTCAGCATTAACTCTACCGCTTTCCCAACCTTCGGCCCTGTCCCATCAGCTCCGTTCCTTGCCTCTGCAGTTCTGCCATGCAGCTCAGGTGCAGTGTGGCATGCACTGATGGCGGGCTCCTTAATGGACAGCCGGTTTCTGATGGAGGACCCCTGAGGTTTCCTGTCCTGCTGCTCCGCACCGTCTGTCCATAAAACACAAAAGCACTCTTTCCAGGTTGTAGCAGCACCCTGGGAAATAAACATGTAACCAGAGCAGACGCAGGCTGACATTTTCAAGTTTAAGAGTGGAGTGGAGGTTTTATGTCGAAACACTCTAAAGGGATTTACAGCAAGCGGCAGAAAGAGGGCGCTGTTGCTGTTCACATTTTTCCCTGCATCCTTTTGCACGGTTGCGGCTTTCAGCTCTTTTCTCCTGTCATACGACAGAGGCTTTCTTTCAACAATGTTTTTGCCATTGTTCCATATTTGTGGAGTGCTTAATTGTTTCCATTTTGACATTTTGAAAATAAATTTAAGCAATTTTGAAAGAAAAAAAAATCTCATCTTCCGTCAAAAGGTTTGGGCACAAAGAAGATGGCAGGAAGTAGTTGGAGGATCTTGGAGCAGCATGTTTTTAATGACTTATCACATGAACAAACTCACTTCGTGTGTAATTTTTGTTTCGTTTCTCATGCACTGGAAGCGCCGCATTTGCAAAATTGTCTTTTCTTGACAGCAGTGGAAAATTGGTACGCAAGTAATGGAAACACAGCTTGTGAGAACGGATGCTCTGAATCGTTTCAAAGTAATTTGAGATGTTTTCAAATACATAGCTGCTTTCCAGATTTTAATTTGTTTAAAAAAAAATAATATTTTGATTCAGCTTTTCAAACATATACTGCCTTTTTGTTCATCGCATCAAATCTTATCAAATTTCTTTGAAGTTTGTAAAATATGCGAAAAGAAAACTTAAAAATGTGCAAATTCTCCACTGGGCTTTTTGTCGCATCACAATAGAAAAAGCCACAATTTTAGAGGTCGACTGCAAGAGAAAAGGCTGCAGCTCGAGGTAAAAGCTCCACCACAAACAACTCCTCAACTCTTCATCGTCTGTCGCGAGGATTCGGGGTGTTTTCTTGTTCCAGCAAGTCACAACAGTGAGTCAGGGGCCGTCACAATGTGCTGGGTGAGTGCAGGGGAGGAGAGGCGCTCTGTCACACGGCAAGACGAGGGAACGCTTTATGAGTCACGGGACGGAAACTCCTCGTCTCTCCCGAGCAAAAAGCTTCGAAGGCGGTGGAGGAACGTGTGCGTTTGCAGAATGACAGGCGCAAACCGTATGCAGTACCTGGAGAGCGTACGGCGAGAACGCCAACCCTATTAAACATCCTAGAGGTAGACTTTGTCGGACTGCTGCAGAGATGCTAAAAACACAGAAGCTCCTCAGTCATTTCTTCACCATGACAACAGGAGACTTCAAAGTAGATCTCTCTCAAGGGAGGCAAGAATGAGACAGGGCTCGATGCAAATACATATATATAATATACAGACCAAAAAATAACAACGAGGCAAAGAAGTAATAAAAGAGCATCTGTGCATGTGAATACATAAACACTGATATTTTTTCCATACATGCAGGTAATGTGTAACTATGTTAGACAGATGAAGTTAAAGCAACAACTAACCAGGAGTATATAAAAAAAAAATAGAAAAACTAAATGCACATTAAAATCATAAAATATGCCCACCAGCCAAATGAGAAAGTTCACTTTATCCATATGCTTATTAGAACGTTAGTGAAAATAAGCATAGATCTGATCTTATTTATTGTTTTCCTGTCAAAAAAAGTGATAAAGCGTTCACTAAGGAAGTCAAATCAGAGCTAAAAACATTGCTGAAAATATGTTTCTGATTTAAAATTGCTACTCTTGAGAAATGTTGCTGTATTTTGTGGGAACGGCGTGCATGAGAAAACAACTTTATTTAGTTGATGAAATCAGAACCAAAATGCTGATCACACAAATATCTGAGTTTGGATGGTGACAAATATTTTTTTTCTCCTTCTCTTTCACATATTCTCTTTCATTTTCACAAGCTGATTTTTTTGTTTGTTTGTTTTGTTTTCATGAAAACAAAACAAAAAAGCAGTGCATGATGCTGCTACAACCAGATAAGTAGAATCTTGTTTTGGTGAATTTTGGGACCATAGTGTGGTTGAGTAGTTTCACTTTGTGCAATTATCATGAACTAATCTGTTTATGAAGACGCAACAGACAAAGACTCCTATTTATTCTAGTTGTCTGATTTACACATACGCTGGCATTTAAATGTAGAAACTTGCTTTAGCAACATTTATCAAGCATGCCAGGCAACTAAGACAGGAAGTAGTCTTTAATAGCCTGTTTTGTTATGGAATCATTTTTCCATAAATCTTTCATAATGTGCATGAAATGTGTTCTGGCGTTCTTCCAGCTGCATGGTGTTTGTTTTAGACCATGCAGCTGCACATGTAGTACTGTGCACTTTGCAGCAATTTGCAGTACTGCATGTACTGTAAAGTGCACAAAAACGCTCCCCTTTCAAATACGGGCCACTAGAAAACATTAAACGGCGTCAAATGTAAAACTTCAATGGAGTCCAAGCTTCACTTGTTTGTTGATAGCCTAGAAGCAAAGTGGATCTGGCTTTTACCAGGCCAGTTCTGCGTGTTTCTATTTTACATGCGTCGTCGCGAGCAGGTGTCACATTATGGGTGTTGCGTCCTTTAACACCTCGTTACAACAAACGTGCCCAGAAACGCAGCCGCGCCGGTGGAAGCGTGTTTTTTTTTTTTTTGGGGGGGGGGGGGGGGAGCACTTTAGCAGGCGACATCAGCTGACGGTTTGAAGCACGTGTCTGCAGAAAAACACACTTCACCAGCCGCCGCACACGCACGCGCGAGTCGCGCCACACGTATTTGTGTGCCTCGCGCGCGCGCGCTGCGTCTACAGATACACTCACGGATCAACAGTAGTGGGTTCCGTCAGCGCCAGCCGCCTTCCTCACTCTCACGTCACCTCCGTCCATCTCTGCCTCGCTGTCGCGCTCGTGCTCCTTTCAGAGCTTCTTTTGATGTTTGTCGGTCTACGAAGCGGAAAAGCCTCATTCTCACCCCGCTTCCTGAGTCGGACGTAACCTCTCGCTCTGCCTCCTGCCGGCTCCGGGTCTCCTATGCATCTTCTCCCCGTGACTGAGGGGAGCAGGGACTCGGTTCTCCCCTCGTCCCCCCACGTCCTAACGCCGGGATAATGTTCTACTTCCAGCTGGTCATCATGGCTGGGACGGTGCTGCTGGCTTACTACTTCGAGTACACGGACACCTTCCCCGTCCACGTCCAGGGCTTCTTCTGCTACGACAGGAGCTTCTCCAAGCCCTACCCCGGTCCGGACGACGCCAGCAAGATCCCGCCGGTGCTCATCTACTCGCTCGTGACGGCCGTCCCCACGGTCACGGTAAGAGCTGCGTTTGTTTTGGATGCTAAAGTAAGAGCAAAGTGCGCTAAAGTTCAATTAATGTGATGGGGCTGGGGTTGGGTTAGTAACTAGTTACTTTTACTTAGTATTTTATTACGAAGTATCACTACTTCTATTTAAATAAAATATAAAATGTCTGTACCCTGAGTAACTTCACTCAATGAAGAGCAAGCAAGTTTTCACCCAACATTCACCACAGACACACACCTGCAGCTCTTATTCACGTTTCTTAAGTCTAGGATTTTTATTTATTCATTTATTTTTTGACTGATTTTGTAACTACGTTATGAATTATGTTCATTTTAGTCTTTAACTAAGCCCCCAGACATAGAAAAAACATGAATAGTTCAACCATTTTGTTTTTCCTGTTTTTAAACAATTTTATGAAAATGTTTTAATATTACACTTAATATAAAGGATGCTCTAGTTGTTTTTATTTTTTTGTTTTGTTTCTTACAACAAACAAAATGGATGTACTATAGTCATGGCTTAGACATTGTAATGATCTCCCAATCAACATTTGAAAATGTATTTTACTTACCGTACTACCTTTATTAATCTGGTACACTGAATGAAAGAGATCTTATTAAGCCAAAGTGTTTCCAGTTGTGGGAACAAATAAGCAAATTTCTTATCCTATTGCATTTTAAGAGTTAGCAAGACAAACTGGGAAAAGGCAGCATTTATCATTTTATTGTTTGTTTGTTTGTCTGAGAAATTATGTTAAATTACAATAGTTAGGTCTTACTGAGTAAAAATATCTACACCGTGTTCCAAATTATTATGCAAATTGGATTTAAATGTCAAAGATTACATTTTTGTTGTGTTATTAAATTTATAGATGGGTTTTTTTTGTTTCAGGGCTCATTGAATCACTATAATTAATTTTAGAGCTGATTGATTAGTTTGTCTGGTGAGCTCAGTTAAAGGAAATCTATTTAAGGAGGATGTTTCACATTATTAAGCAGGCCATAGGTTTCTAGCAATATGGGAAAGAGAAAGAATCTGCTGACAAAAAGACAGCGTAATGCCATATGACAAGGTATAAAAACTGAAGCGATATCGTACTGTGAAGAGATTTGTGGCTGATTCAGAACAAAGATGGTTGGTACAGATAAAGGCATAAATGAGGAAGGTTTCTGTTAGACAAATTCATGGGATTAAAAGAGCATCTCTTTAAAATGCCTTTACAAAGCAGCAAACGGTTATTTGAAGCTGTTGGCGCCTCTGGAACCTCAAGGTGGAGGATCATTCAGCGGCTTGCAGTGCACCAACCTACTATTGGGCTCTTAACCAGAGCTCACAAGCAGAAACAGTGGCAGTGGGTCCAGCCGTACATAAAGATTCATTTTCAAACAGACTCTTTCACTGATGACTGCTGTGCGACCCTAGATGGTCCGGATGGACGCAGTAGTGGATTGGTGGTGGATGGCCACCACGTCCCAACACAGCTGTGACTGTGTCAGCAAGGAGGTGGTGGAGTCATGCTTTGGGCCCAAATCATGGGGAGAGAGATAGAGCTGGTCGAGCCCTTCAGAGTACCTGAAGGTGTGAAAATGATCTCAGCAAAGTATATGGGCTTTCTGACTGATCACTTTCTTATGGTTCAAAAAGAAGAGCCATACCTTCGATAGCAAAATCTTCTTCATGCTTGACAATACACCATCTCATGGTGTAAGGAATATCACTGTGTCATTTTGATTGAAATAGCTTTTGATTTTAATCATGTCATTTTTAAATATTAGATGACATTTACTGTTATTCGGTACTTGAGTACTTTTTGCCACATGCTTTTTCACTCGTACTTGAGTAATTTCTTGGATGGCTACGTTTCACTTATACTCCACTTAAAACATATTGAAGTAGTGCCACGCTTACTTGAGTACAATTCTTGGTACTCCACCAACCTCGGCTTGTGATTCACGCAACAAATTACTTCCTGCTCAGAAGATACCGAGAGCAGATCTGCGGGGTGCGAGGAGGTCATCCAAGTGTGTGCGGACGAGTGTGTGTGGAGATTAAGGAACTAAAACAACAGACAGCGCTGACCGCACAGAGACGTGATGAGAAGAGGCAGACAGGTCATTAGAGGAAGAGCTAACATGAGAGAAAAGGAGAGAGAACGAGCGCGGAAGTGTGAGTGAAGACAGAGCGATAGTGACAGCGAGCAGATGCTGTTTGAAGAATCGGACTCAGAAGAAACAGATGCAAAAATAACAAAGGTGCCATCCTTTGCTGGAGTTGCTCACCCAGAAGCAACATTTTTGCTCATTGCTTTTTTACCAAATAACTTTGACTCAGTCAGATTGGATAGAGAGCGCCAGTTTTCAAGCCTTTCCACAAATACTTAACCAAATTCAGGTCTGGACTTTGACTGAACCATAATATCGTATGCACATGCCTTGATTGAAACACTTTTTTTGGAGTTCTTGCTCTACATTAAGGGCTATTTTATTGGAACTTGAGCGTCCAGCCCAATCTTAAGTCTCTTGTTGCGTTTAGCAGGCGCTCCATTCATATTTCCATCAAGTCTGACCTACTTCCCTTTTCTTTGATTATTTTTTTCCCCAACTATGTGGCAAAAAGGCTGAATTTCACAAAAGCTACTTGAAAAAAAAAGAGCTCAGTTAGCTTAGCTCATTGAAGTGGTTTGATTTTAAAATGAAAGAAAATCACTTTGTTTACTCTTCTGTATTAAAACAAAGAAAAAAAAGAAAGTTCTCAAACTTTTTTGTGCAGAAAGAAGAAACAATTTTTCAATGAAACATAGAATTTTTAATGGAAATTAATTATTTTTAGAAAGCACAACCAAGACAAAAAAAAACTTTTTAAAAAGGATATTCTGTACACTATTCTTATTCCTTGTGTGTAGATCACATGAAAACATCTAGCATTTTTAAAATTACCTTTACATATTAAAACTAATTCTTTAGCATTTTTAACCAAAGTCATTGAGAACCACTGTGGACGATGCTCTAAAAAGCCACATCCGATTCTCTTTTTAGGTGGCCAAGTGTTTTGCCTGTCTCATATTCTTCCATTTCTTCACTTCTACTTGAACATCGGAGGCCTTCAGAGAACAGAGCGATGAAATTACAGACAACAAAAACAATTTCAGTGTAACGAGACGTATTTGAATTTTAATTCAGGCTATCAGAAGAAAGATGTCTGAATGAAAGTGCAGACTTTTACATTTACTTTGTGGTTTTTCTTGCACTTCATGTTGCCATTGTGGTTCTTGACTCTATAAATAGGTAAAAAGTGGAAGAGTTGAAAGCTGTATCTGTTTGTCTTGTGTGTGTTTCTGCAAGTTCAGCAGCAAAAGCCCCTTGTGAGACGGTCGGCAGCGATCCCCATCACCTGACTAAGCACAGACCCTGAACCGAACCGCTGACATCCCCCGTGTGCTGCAACACAAAGCGCTGCAAACAGAAGCAGCCTCAACACAAAGCAGACAGATAACCGAATTACACATAACCGAGATACGGACTTATCGCAACGGAAACAATATCTTCGAGCTGCATCAAAAAACAAACACTGCTGATGCTTGTAAGCAACGTACATCAGAGTTTCCTCCTGAGGAACAGCTGATGTTTGGCATAGTCTTTATGATCATGGATAAAATAAAAGGAGAGTTTACAAGCTGTCAAAAAAGGAAGTGACAAATCTTGAAATGTCTTGATCAGAGCTGTACGTCTCCGATGATGACCTAAGTCATTTTAGTTCATGAAATATATGTGCTTGAACGCTTGGTAGCTTTTAAATGGAGGGGCATTTTAAAGCTGCATTTAATAAAAATTTAATAATTAATAAAACAAATAAAAAGTCGCATCTGTTTGTTTTTTTCCACAACAAAAATATTTATCCCGAACTGGAATTTCTGCAGGTTTGATCAGTTTCAAATACTGTCAGCTAAAAATGGCACAGATGTTCTGTTCTCTACGTTACCGTATGAAGCCGTTCGCTAGCACTACATAAGCTAACGTTGCGTCTATGTTTTGATGCGACTTGTTGATAATCAGAGGAACTCCACTTAATTATGTGTGAAAAAACTCACAGACAAGTTGTGAATGAAATGGGCAAAATAGCTTTCAACATTATAAAATCTAATGACGACACATAACACAGTCAGCAACCCTCTGCTGTCAATATTATACTTTTCAAAGCAAAGAACACAACTGCATTACTTGCATTAGTTTACTGTAGAAGCCCAGTTTATTCCAGAGTATTTTAACGGTGTAAAAAAACCTGTTTTTTTATCCACCTCCTACAAACTAAAAAACTGAGACGTGATGACAAACCCCAGTCATGCATTTTTAATTTCCAGTCTTAGCAATGTATTTTTAATGCCTATATCTTATTAGTTGTAGAGACAGTGAAATAGAAAAGTAATAAATAAATAAAGCAGGTCTAGTTCAAATATTTATGACTTAACTTTTATTTTATAAATGTACATGAAATAAGGGAGGCATGGACTTAACGTTTTTTCACAATGTCGTGAAACTATTGCTATAATCACAAAAGTGATACTAACTATTCATTGCTTCTTTTTTACGCTACTGTATGTTTGTCCCACCAATCATTGCTGCACAAACACTGCTCTTAAAAAACATTCATATTTGTTATACGCTTTGTCTCGACACCAGCCGCTTAAAGAAGTTAGATTTGTATCTCGAAGCTGCACACAGTATGTAAAATGTATCGATATTTGGCAGCTATTAAACAAGAAGTGGAGAAAACTGTAAAACTAACAATCCTCATAATGTGTACAGTGACGATGATAAATCATAATTCTTATCCTGGCAAGACATTTATCTCGATACATGATAAACGATACAATAAATGCCCATCCCTAATATGAAAACTTGATTTTGTGAAGAAGAAAAAATCTGAGATTTCACTCAGTATCTTTAAAGCTTTAAGAAAAGTCATTCCAGGAATCTTGAAAGAAACAGAAAATGAGTTTAGTGCGGTAAATA